CCCCTCCTCAATCTCCCCTCCCACCGATCCATCGCCGCATTATTGACCCACATCTTCCACAACCCAGAGCCAAACGCTCCGTGTCTAGATTTATGGGTCCATAGATTCCCCTTGTATATCCTTGGTTTGGATTTTCCATGGTAACCTTCTTCATATCAGCTTTCTTTGAACCGTAATCATCACACCAGAGGGGTGCGGAACTTACAAACCCCCCTATGCTCCCTCTTCCTCCTTGTAAACCTCCTACACACCCCACAATACGTCAGCCCCCTCCTCATCCAGCCCCTCAACCTCCACCACAGCTTCTCCGTCCCCTCAAAACACCCACAGTGCACATGCAGGTAGGACGTCCCCCAGCGCCTCACGGTGCATTTCCTCTTGTGCCGCGGAGCTGGGAGCCCGGCGTCCTGGTAACGGGTTAGCGCAGCCTGGTAGCTGGCTTCGTGGCAGCTGTGTTGGCGGTGGAAGCCAGATCTCTTGGGGGAGCAGAAGGTGCAGTGGGGAGACGGAGGGCTATCGTTCGTGGAGAGGGAGATGGGGGGTTTGGATGGAGAGAGCGCGTAGAGGTTTTTGCTGGTGGTTGTTAGGAAGTGAGGTTGGGTGGAGAAGGGAGAGAGGGGGAGGTAACTTACCAGGTTAGGGCGAGACATGTAGCGTCGTTTGAGGGGCAAGACTGGAGGATCATAGAGTGGATTTCGGGGGGAAACGATGTAAATAATGCAAAAGTTGCCATCTTCGTCGATGACAATAACCTCCAAAGTCTGCTGAAGAATTGACTACTTGTGTTAAAATGATATAAAAAGATACCTTCCTCGCTTACTCCGTACTTTATTCAGATGATTGATATAGCAATTGAGAAAGAGAAATCCAATGAGAAACACGCCCATTTAAGTACCATATCCACGACGCGCCTCAACACGCTATCACGAGATCGTTCAGGCAGAAGGGGGCTAAGAACCCTCACGTGGGTTGGTACAATAGGCAGCAGTCACATGACCCAGCTAGCTGGCTATTTTGGGAGGCAATTGCTAGCGAGATATGCAAGGGGTGTGCTGTTTCTGATTGGTTGGAATTGGCCACAATTGGAAAGGTGGATTGCATCGCTTGGGTGAGGATATGAAATGAAAAGTGAGGTTGCAAATGAGCTTGATAGTGAAAGTGAAGGTAAAGGCAAAATTGAACATTACAGATACTTGGAAAGAAGCTCAAAGGACTTATCTCAGGGGCCGGCGGCATTGAGTTGGTAGCTTCTCCTTCAACATGCGCTCGCTCAGACAAGCCATCGGTCTAAGCAATCCGCCAGGCCATCTGGACCGAAGTGCTTCGCTGCGACTGATATCGAAGTGCAGCAGTCCGGACAGTTTAGGTTCTCTTGATTAGCTTTCTTTCACTCAAAGAAGTCATGTTTGTCGATGCAGGGGCAAAGGCAAAGGGGATCCGCAAACACAAAGGTAGACAAGGCAAGGGCAGCCCCGTCTCGACCAGCCAAGGTATCACTACATGGTTGTTAGTCGGGTCTTGTTCAAGAAGACGCATGCTCAAAGCGTGCGTGCTTGCTTATGGGAGTGCGGCTTCGGAGGAGGTGCAGATAGATAGGCAGATTCAGAAGAGTGAAAACCTCTTTGTTACACCTAAGCCTTGTACCCATAGTGACAGCGGTGATGTGCATCTCAACTGTGTAACGCTCAGCCTCCAATTACCTATACACACCAATAAAACCTCACTCTGTATCACCAAAAAGCATGAGAAGAGGGGCGACTGAGATAAAATCCCTTTTTTCGTTCATGAAAGAGCAATGAAAAGCCAAAGGAGCGCAAATCTCAAGCTATCGTAATAAATACAGATTGATCTGAAGAAACCACAAACACAAAATGGGAAGAAAAGGGAAACATGGGAAAAGGGCAATTTTGATGCGCTGTCGCGACCGTTCTTTTCCTCCTCAACCGGCGTGTAAGCAAACTCCTCAAACCCATCCATTCTGCGCACAAACCGGCAACCAGCCTCACAGAAGCTGGAATGTAATGCCCACCCATTGCTCCTCCGCCCTTCGTCCGTCGTCGCGCAATATTAAGGATCTGTTGTGATTAAAGAGACAAGAAGTGAAGTAAAAAACGGGTATGTGTCATGTCGCTACCGCAGTAGGGGAGGGCATATCCGAAGAATCGGTAGGCGCGCCTTAACGAAGAGAGAATCCCTTCCTCTTTCCCTTCTCCTCTATCGGTCTTCCACTCTCGATTCTGGCCTTCTTTTCCTCCAACTCCATCTTCTGGCGTTCGAGTTGCTCCTTCATCTCGCGATGACGAGCGTACAGCTCCTCTTCGCTCTGCTTCAATTTGCTCTCCTTCTCGGCAACCTTTTGCTGGAAGACCATCTTCATCTCGGCCTCCATCTTGGCAAGCTTCTGTTCGTGGAGTGTGCGCTCCTCTTCTTGCTTGACGGCAGGGTTGACCTCCTTGAAGACGCTTGGGTCTTGTGCAACACCCATTGCGGTGAGCTTCTCGGATCTGTAGTTCTCGTACAGAGCATTGTTTGTGTGTTCCTTGAGCTCCTCCATGTGTGTTCGGATCAGCATCTGGCGCAGCTTGACGAAATCGCAGTGTTCCTCGTTATCGACCTCGATGATACCCCATGGGTAGCGACGTCCGCGAACCTTACGCCCATCGGCGCTGGTGATTTCAGAGTTTGCACCAACAACAGCAAATGGAACCTTTGACATAATCTCGTTGTTCTCTGCAATTGTCTCTTCATCATCGAGTTCGTAGCGGGGACCCTCGAATATTTGGATCGCGTGATGCTTAATATCTGCGAGAATCTGGAATACTTAGTACAAGTGTGACACAAACATGAAGATGAACTTACTCTAGACTTGAAAGCCATAATCTCCTCGTCAGTCATAGTATCAGCTTTGGCAATGACTGGAATCAAGTTGACCTTGGTATGAAGTCGGCGCATAACTTCAATGTCCAAAGGCTTCAACGCATGGCCCGTGGGTTGGATAAAGTACACACAAGCGTGAACCCGGTTATCCACAATGTTCATGCGGTTGACCTTGTTCTCGGCATCCAAGTAAGCATCAAAGCGTTGCTCAATGTTATCCACAATTGGTCTCCAAGATTCGTCGTTATTGACGAAGTCACCAAAACCAGGGGTATCGACAACGGTCAGTCGTAAACGAACACCATTTTCTTCAATATCCGCGCTTATAGATTGGATTGAGACGGTTTTTGGGATGATATCCAAGCTGGGTCCTTTGCGCTCACGGGGTGGATATAACGAAGTGTTGAACAGGGTATTAACCAAGGTTGACTTTCCAAGGCCAGATTCGCCTATTTTTGGTCAGTCAATTTGACAATTTGAAGGTCAAGGCCTTTACATACCAACAACCATGACATTGAAGTTGAATCCTTTCCGGACACTCTTGCGGTGCCACTGGTTGGGCAGATTCGCAAATCCAACGTAACCAGTCAATTTTCTTCGCACGATGTTCCTCATGTCACTGGCTTGTTGAGCAGCAATTTTAGGGTCGCTTGAGCTCACGGTCTGAGGCGTAGCCTCTTGTTGAGGGGACACGGCCTTGCCATTTGCTTGAGGGGCTGGGGAGGCTCGGGTGGGTGCCGCTGGGGCAACGCCATTGGTAGCTGTATAGTAACATAAAATGTCAGCCCAATCGTTCGAACTAGTTTTGTGCTTGCGCGCGACCTGGCTCAATCTCTCGCTGACCCAGTCTTCCATGGACTCTTCTCTCGGAATGGCAATTGGGCTAAGGGTAGGAGCATCTTCAACATCCAGCATGCTGCGAAAGTAAATAGTCCCAATTGATCGCTGCTGACGATGGAGACTCCCAGGATAGAGTTGAGAGCCGTCGGCAGTTCCAAGCACTTTTAAAGGCAAGGATACGGCCTTTGAATTGGTCTCGGATTGAGATGTTCGAGAGGCTCGAGACTGCGCGAGTAATCCAGACATGGTGAATGCCAGTCGGTGGAGGTATCTTGAGAGAAATGCTTGAACGGCGCTGAAAATGTGTGCGAAGGATGCGAATAGGCCCGAGAGATTGCTTGAAACCATGCGAAATATTCAAACACCGCGTTGGACCTTTGTTGCAGGACAGTGACCACAGCTAGCCAGGTATTGGGTTTGTTTGTACGAGTTGAAGCTGCCCGCTGCAGGTATTTTCGCGATCGGACGCAGGTGTGATTCAGAACTTTCACACGGGTCCTGGTTGCCCTGAAAAGAAAAAATTGCTTACCCATTATCTCGAATTGGACGACGAAGAAGTATCGATGGAGGTTTCTCGTGGAGGCAGGTGCAAAGTTAAGAGAGTCTAGTTGAACAAGGTTCAAAATTAGCTTTGGTGGAAAAGTTGCTTATGCACAGTAGAGCAGTGAATAGATTGGTGCGCAGCATGCAAAATCAATAATTTGCAAAGAGGTTGCTTCGTATTGATGGGGACAGTTGGGTGGAGTGGATGCGCAGTTGCATGTTCAATACGATCGGCACATACCTGTTCAAATCTCCCAACTTGTTTATTTCTCGTCGTCGCGCGGGCGCAATCAAGGAGAAGAGCAGAGTCTGAAAGCTGCTCGCAGTACTCGATCTGGTAGGCGCGTTGCTGTCAGTTATGAATGTGAAGAGGTTGAGGATGTAGCAAAGTTCAGAAAGGTCAACGTGGATGAAGCCACGACAAAAGGGGTTTCTCAAATAGTGACAGGGATGGGCCAAAGCTGTCATTTGAATGTGCCCTAGAAGAAGGGTATGTGTACGGCGGGTAGAAAGATGGACAACGTACCGTGTCTTGGATCGATGTAACAATTGAAGTCGAATATGGACGAAGGATACGTGCGACGGGTTGCAGAGGCAGAGGCAGAGGTAGACTGAGGTTGTGCTGTCCGGTACGACTTCTGGGAGAAATTAAAAAAGCGTCCGTCTCCCTCTCCACGCCCGCCGCGTGGGCCCCGAGATTCGAAAGAGGAAGCGGCTAGAGTGATAGGGGCCTAGCTTAAGAGCACGTGACTCAAGCTTGGTGTAAAAACCGGCATACAGCTGCACGGACGGAGACTTTAATTGCACCTGTACCTTCACAAACGTTCCATTCTCCACTCTGATTGGCCAGCACATGTAAAGGGGCCTCCTATCTACAAGACAGAGTTAGGAGAGACAGAGAGAGAGAGCGTGAGGATCTGCTCGAAGTTGATTGTCACGGTCACGAGGAAGACGATCAGGATGTTCTAAAGCAAGCGGTAAAGTACCCTTTTTACGAGTACTTAACCTGACACTCGAGAGGATCAAGGTAAAACGCTGCGTCGCGAGTCACACTTCTGACGCGACTTTCTGCAGGTCTCGTGACACAGCATACCGCCAGCGATCAGGTTACTGCCGATCTTTTGTTTGTAGAGCAAGTACAGTACGTTGACGCGCCTTCATGTATCTGCTCGGCTCTGCTTCAAGCTGAAGTTTCGCGGTAGGAACCTTGGGTCGGCATCTTCATTCACCAAATAGCCGTAATGTATGCTGCTCCTTTCTGCATTCAATGCATCACTAATAGCCATTCACAGGAGCTGATTCTTCCACAAACACCAAAATACTGCAACCACCTAGCATTCACCAGCAGAGTCTGCACGTGATATCTGTGGCACTGTCTATAAATTTCCACGCAAATATTGGTCGTAGCAACCAAGGCACCTCTCACAATTCATCCTTCACATCTTCTTGACAAGATTTCCAAAATGAACAAGATGGAAACGACGAACAAGAAGAACAAGAAGTCAAGCGTGGCAAAGAACCCGCATCGCTCCTCGTTCCCGCAATTCCCAAAGCTACCTACAGAGCTCCGCACGATCATTTGGAACTTGACTCTTCAAGGCCGTACCGTGGAAATCCAGTTCGAGATGACCCGGGGCTTCTACTCTCGAGTAAAAACCCCGGTTGCCCTCCGAGTCTGCAAAGATTCTCGAGACGCTGTCCTTTCCTCCTATTCAACCTGTTTCGGAAACTTGATGTTTACGCCAAGGACCCTCTTCAACTTCTCCTTCGACACTCTTTATATTGGAGCGGGAATCGACATCCAACAACAACTCATGCACCTCATTGGAAGTATGAATTCCACAGAGATATCCAAACTCCAAAGTCTAGCGATAGACAACGATATTAATACGGACTGGGAGGTTGGAGCTGACGCCGAATTTGACTATGAAGCATGCGTGAAAAAAGCAGCCTCATTGATGCCGAATCTGAGGGTGTTTCTACAAGTTTTCGACCTAGCGGGCTGGTTGTTAGAGGACGACATTGGTGAGGGAATTGGAGCCATGGAATTATACCTCGAGTGGCCTACCGAGGTTGAGGATATGCACATATGTCCGAATGCTAGGGTTCGCCGTTCTTGTGGAGGGTGTGGAGGGTATCATGGTAATGGTAATGGTAATGGCGATGGCTTTGATAGCGATGGGTCCGAGTACTACTACGACGAGGATGACGAGGACGTCGAGTATTGCGACAGGCATAACCTGCCGGATGATTCTGAAATGAAATCTCTTCCGAGTCGTCCTGATGGCAGTTCTGCTCCCAAAGTCTCCGCTATCGTAAGGAAAACTGGCTTTTTGATTTTACCCTACCCCCTTCTATCATGTTTCGTCTTATGTACTCCAACTACTCCTTACATACTTCCTAAGCTGGAAACATAAGCTCCTTCTACTCCCGAAACCTTCTTGAATAGGAAATAACTAACTCCCCCATGATCTAGTGGGGCTGGAGGCCTACGAAGTAGAAGTTCCCGGGAACTACGAGTATCATGCGAGCGAGGCGGTTTTACGGAGTGTTACATAGGACATCTTGCTACATGTGCAGCTATTGCAGAGGATTGCAAGTATTTTGTTTCTGGGACAAGATGGCGTCGGTATTTACTCTTCATGATACCCAAGGACACTGGAGTTGCCATGCGTGGCATGACTATGAAACTATGAAGGAAATTTTGCTATGTATCTGGCTTTTGATGAAACTCCAAAAGAGGTTCACCTGAACAATGTCATCTTGTGAATCGCACTGTTGAATCATTTACGGTTTCTAGCTTTGTATGTATAACCTTTATCTATTACTACTCTAAAATAGGTTTCTTCTCCGTACAGCTTAGTAGGAGCAACCAGGCCCGCGTCTTTCTCCAGCAACACTCTTTGGTCAAGTTGGCACGTAGTCTTTTGGTTCCTCGTGAAGTTTCACGTCGCAATAATCTCAGAGTGCGAACAACACAGATACTTCTCGAATGATCTCAGACACCTCTGGCAGGATGGGTTTCTAAATTTGTTGTCTGCTGTAACTCAGGACTTCTCCACATCGAACAGTTTAGCAGAGCAATGTTTTGAAAGACGACGCTGCCTGAGAGTCTTTGCCTTGTGGAACAGCAGAGGCAGCCTTGCCTTGCTCCTTCCCTTCTTTTAACCGAGCGAGTCTTCATCTTCTACCACCAGCATCCGAGTCCCATTTACCCTACTTCTGCCTTAAAACATCCGTCCATTGAATCTCCAAAAATCTGCCCGACTACATATCTCAACGGCGACTATATATTATCTCGGCGCGTCGAGCTTTCGAACTGAACTTCAAATTCAGAAGCTGTCCTGCCGATTTCTAGTCTCAACGTTGTCTCCAACTCCCACCACCGCGCAAAACGGTGTGCTCCATCATGCAGCGTCCTCTCAAGCAAAGCTCACTCGAGAAATGGGTCACTGTTGCCACTACGCCTCGGTTTCCTCTGTTCTCCAAACTTCCGATTGAGATTCGACTTTTGATCTGGGAGCTTACCATCGAATTACGCATCGTTGAGATGAAGACATACGACCAGATGGACATCTATCCAAAAAACTCACATCCTGAGGTACCGGCTCTTAGCGTGTGTCGAGAGTCTCGCAGCACTGTCATCAAAGCGTACCCACTTGCTTTTGAAAAATGGCATGGTGAAGGTATTCGGTTCAACTTCGAGATCGACACATTGTACTTTTCTCGAAGCTTTAAAGACCATCTTCAATTGTTTCTCGAAATCTTGACCACGCCAGACCTGCAACAACTTCGGTATATAGCCATCGATATGACAATGTGTGAGGATTGGGACCTCTATTTCCTACCTGGCAACAGTTTTCCCGAGCTTGATATATTCCAATACACTCTCTACCGGAGTATTGAGTCAATGGTGAGTTTGGAAAACGTGTTCGAGGTATATTTGTTGCACCATTGGGCGGTGCATATAGACTGGCTTGTTGGTGGAAACGTAAAGCTACATGCAAAATTGCCTCCTCATCTCAATGATCCTGACTTGAAAATCGATGAAGACTTGCCTGGAGCGTCTCAGCTTGTCGAAATGGCCTTTCCAGATTCCCAGCCAGTCTTCGGAGTGCTAGATGGCTTAGTTACGGCTCCCGGTGCGCCACATCGAAGCCTTGGACCCAGAAGTGATGAAGACCATTTCAGTTGGCTCTGTTTTGAAGAAGTAAGGCTCAATTCCCCAAAGTATTCCGAATTCTAACATGAATACAGGGTTACTAACCGTTAGGGTTTCTTTGATATGCTCGACTAAGCCATTTCTTCCAATCAGCGCTGGAGCTTGCTACATTACGCGTCCCAAGTTGTTCCTGGTACCGAAACGTCTTATTGGAACCGAAACTGTCATATATGACTGACTATTCACATCATCTCTTATGACCGCAGTGCGTATTTCAAGCCTCTGCCAGAAATTGATTTGTTAGAACTAACAGTCGGTCTAGTTACTGCCATCGCTTACTCGTTTTGCTATCTCAATAATCTCATTCTCTCACAACTTTTGTAAACTGCCAAACTGGCATTGCAAATTGCACAACTAATAGGGGGCGGTTGCGAGGAGCGGAAGACTTTAAATAGCCTTAGGAAGAGTCTGCCAGAGATGCTAGTTCAGACAAGAATGAAAAACATATATGATTAGGAATTGAAGCTCAAGTAAAGAAGGTGATGTTCATGATTCATATTTATTAAGTATTCTACCTTTCAAGTTCCCAGAAGTATTTCCTCCTTTTAAATCCAATCCAAACTCCAGCACATCTATCGCACTCCACGCTAACGTCACAAATATAAACCTATTTGGCTAACCCAACCCATCTTGCTTCACCTAAGCAACAGCAAACTTAGATCTCGCCCTCAATTTGGCCCCAAAGATCCACAACGCATACATACCAATAATACCAATAATACTCAATCCACCAAGCAAACTAACACCCTTTCCAACCCCCAAATTAAGAAATAACGGCCGTCCAAACATGATACTCCCACACGCGAACGCGCTCCTCAGAAAATCATTGCCGGCAAACAAACTCGCCGCATACTGCGGATACGAAAGCGGCACATAGACAAAGATACACTGCATAACGACAAACACACTCGCGCCGTATATGGTGATGCCGATGGTCGGGGCAATCCAATGAATACTCGGATTCGCGGTCCACGCAAAGAGAAACAGGCCGACCGTGGGGCCGAAACACGCGATGAGCGCAGGCACCAATCTGCTTTCCTGGGCACGCAGACCGTTCTTCAAGATGTCTGGGACGAGCAGGAAGTATAGGTAGGCGCAGTAGATGGCGATGCCGGACAGACACGCGACCAGGATGCAGGTGAAGACTACGCCGGTCATGCCGAGGCTGAAGCCGTACATGGGCGGGTAGACGAGCGGGAAGACTTCGAAGAAGGAGTAGTAAATGCCGTAGAGGATAGCCGTGTAGAGATTTACGAAGAGGATGGCTGGGTCTTTGATGGTGATTTCGATGGGCTTGATGATGGCGTCGACCAGGATCGAGGCGGGCTTCAGATTCCTCTGGTCGATCTCTGATTGTGCTTGCAGGCGCTCGTTGCCGGTGAGTTTCCGGAGGCGCTGAGCGCGTCGCAGTAGTAAGTTCGGCGTGCTGGTTTCGGGAAGGAGCATGAACATGAGGAGGAAGATTGGACCGGCGGCCCAGAGGATCTCCCATAGAGACCACCGCCAGCCTTTAGCCATAACTGCGAATCCTGAGATTAATGGTCCTAAGGCTGGCCCCGCGAAAGCGCTCGATACCCATGCAACGAGCGCGTAGGGCAGGTAGAGGAGCGAATACATATCCTGCATAGTCGCTGCTCCTACAGCCAGACACGGACTACCGAAAAAGCCCTGTAGGAACCGCAGGACCAGGAGACCGGCGAAGTTGTTGACGAGGGCGGTTGGCAGGGACAGGATCACGAATATGGCCATGGTGGCGGCGTAGACAGGAGACCGGCCGATAATGGGGATTTCGGAGAGCGGTGCCCATAGAAGGGGGCCCATACCATAAGCTAGAACGTACAGAGAAAGGGGGAGCGAGGCGTCTGTTGCTGAGACGCCGAATTTCTCGATGACGCCGAGTTCGCTCGAGGTGTAGATTGCGGAACCGGTGTAGACGACAAAGGTGTATAGACAGATAATCAGGGAGACGACGAATCGTTTCTTGTTGCTCCAATTCTGGGGGTTCTCGGGATCGTCTGTCGTATACCAATCTACCAAGACAGTTCCGTCTGATGTCTTTGCTGGTATGATTGGCTTTGTCTGTGTTCGCTCGAGAGCGAGCTCTGCTTCGACTTCGAGACGCTCTTCGGTATAAGGAACTGTATCCAGACGACTCTTCGTCCGATTGAGTTGGACAGTGGCATGCTCTTCTTCATAAGGGGCGGGATGTGTCTCTGCCTTTTCTAGATCATGAGCCAAATCATTTGAATTGGGATTCAAATCAACACTGCTGCTTGGATCAATTGATTGACTTGACTGCCGAGTTCGTTGCCGTGTTGCTGGCCGTGATGCTGTTGGGTGTCTGTCGATTTCTGGATGCTTTTCTCCAGAGCTGTTGAGTAAGACATTGTAACTTGCTGGTAACTCAAAGCTGGGCTTTTCTTCTGGATATAGCAGAAGTCTGTTGTTGGTCGCCCATCGGATCAGCTGCCCCAAAGGAGCATCTCGTAGGATCTCAGACATGATGAGGAAGTTGAAGCCAAGATTAAAGGTGTATCGGGGAAGTCGTGCAGTAGCTGACAAGGAGGAACAGGTGAAGGTGAAGCTCAAATCCAGCTAAAGCCTTGAGACAAAGCAGAATGAAGAGCAAGAACAAGGGACGAGACAACAACGGATGAAGAAGATTGAAACTAACGAGAAGAAATTGACTTTGGGACAATGCCCAGGTATATATAATTCAGCCATCAGAGAGCTATCTCTTTCGGGCATTGGGGAATATCATAGATGGCTACATCTCCCCTACATCAATAAGCAAAGCCAAGGTCTCTCTAGCGCCACGGGTTTATCCCATCCTGTTAGGCTGCAAGTAGGCTGTTACCCATACAGACACTTTGAGTCACCCCAAAGAACGCGGGATGAGAATTGGCATATGCCATAAGCCATCATAGGCTGGCAGTTGCAAAAGGATGGACGGTTGTAGGGCTATCGGGGATAGGGTTTTGCTTCTACGCATCATGTAAGCCGCCAAGACAGCGATAGACGAGTTAAAAGACCGTCCGAACACCAGGAATAAGCACGATGCTGAATAATGCCATGCGATGGAACGTACAAATCGGCTATGACGCGGGGAAGGCTAGCTTTACTCCTATCGTTGGTACCATTAGTTTATGTGTCGGCTTTGTCATTTATCTACATGCGTCTGAGATTTGTTAATCAATCCGGATTACTGAACAGAGTGGTGTCCCTTGCACACTCTTGAGCCAATCTGATGGTAGTCCTTAGACCTGTTCTTCGGGGACGGAGGAAATTTTGAGTTCCTTTACTGAAAGGATGTATCCTCCATTTCCCACCTCTTTGAAGAAAGAAATATTACTAATATCAGAATTCGTCAGCTCAGCTCAACAAAACTGGATGCTAACTAATAAAACGCACGTTCTTCCGCCGTTTCGGCCCATGGCGAGTATTGTATCGTATGGAATACCGGTACTACTCTATGCTTTTTGAGACGGGAGCAGAACTAGCGGCTACTTGAATCTCTGGATTAGGCAAACGAACCAGCTTCGATCACGGGAATGTCACGGGGTTTGCATGTGACACCCAGCAAGCAAGTTTAGGAAACATCGATCCAGACCTGTAAGTAAGTCAGACCTGCTCCTGTTTAACATCGTTGGTACTTTCTCTGCATCCCACTAAGAATCAGCAACCAACAGCGTCGATCTGGAACCTAGAATGAGGTATTCCCTCCGAATGCAAATTTATCTAGTGTCAAGACGACTTTGCCCTCACGAAGACGCACGCAGCCAGAATGTCAAACCAGTACCAGGACGTCACTCAACTGACTCCAGACGGCGATACTCATGGCGGTGACGCATCATGCAGGCCAGGTGAGGTTGATATAAGTGCGTATGGACGGAGATAGCAGTCATCGGATTTATGACAGACAACGCAAGCACCTTATAGCATAGAAGAATTCGGAATCGGCGTGGACTTGAATTCGAAAGGGATACACCGGTATCCAGTGTTGGAATTATCCTTCTAAGTATCTGTCTGAGACAATGATCTTCTATCTTAAATTTAGCTACAATAACAGAGTTTAGGATCCGAATGGAAGAGTATTTAAATGTGAGTCGAAACCTGTACTAGAACAAACATACTTGAGTCTGACTTGCCTCACTTGAGATTGAGGTTGAGCTTATCTAGGCCGTATAACCACGAGAGATGACCGACAGCAGGTGTATCTAAATTATAAGATTTGCTTGACATCTTCAGCTTCAGCGTTACATATGTCCAAATGGGGAAATAAAGGAAGCTGCTTACCTTGCCTTGTACTAGACTGGTACTGGTTCAACGATTCAACGGAGCGAGGACAAGGCGAAGTTTAGCGAACCTCACCAAAACCCCGACATCTCTTTTCCTCTCTAACCGATCGGGCCTTTGAATTATCCAAACCTGTCCAAAAAAAGCGACAACTGCCCGGCCATCTGCCTTATTCCAGGCGCCCAGAAGTCGCGCCCGGACAGATCGTAGGCAAGCTTATTTCAACAACTTATTCATCTCCCAAATCCCAAGCCCAGCCAATCAAATCGACCAAAACGTACGCTCAGCCGCAGCCGCCGTGGGAGTTTTACGTACGACTATACGGAAATGCGTCCGTAATGTACTTAGTTACGCTGCCGTGCACCGACTGTCTGAGCCTCGTTGCGACGACACTTCGTCAAGAGTCGCCATTTACAATTCCGATCCTCCTTTAATAAGCTTCTATTATCTGCAAACTCTATGGTCGGATCGGATCGCATTCGACTATGGGGGCGGAGCCGCGGCGCACGCAAAGACCATTGCGAGTCCCAGGTAGAGGATGAGGATCTGCCTGCCTACCTCAGCACAAAGAAACTACACACAGTAAGCTAATTCGATGAATCATTCAAGTTGAATACTCATTTTTCGGGCCCGAGCGCGAACTAGAGACAGGAATGGAGGTCCATCGTCCGTAGGGCTGGTTATCTTATGGAGTTCTCGCAGCGTATATGGTTGTTTTAGGAAAGTGTTCTGTAGCTACGGGTACTCGCGTCGAACCAGCCGCTATGCAAGTGATACCGGTGGTGGCGACGACCTTTTGTGGAGGGATGCTATTTTGAATTCTTACTTGCTCTTTCAACGTCCCCTTGCAAATGTACTACTGTACGACATGAAGAAGTCTATCTATCGCTCATGATGATGAAGGATCATTGAATGCTCAGCTCTTCCAAGTGACAAGGGATGAACGGAGGTACTACGTATATACTAGGGTGGGTACCCCAGACATATATATGACTTCCTTTTAGTGAAGAAAGATAACCATTTTTCAGAAACACTTGCAATCAGATCTTTCATTCATCAGTCCTTACACACGCGCATCTTTTCTGCGTCATCCCGCGTGTCTTTCTCTCTTCAATCAATCGCCATCCTCCAACGACGTTTCCATTCCCAATACAAACAACTATCTAAACCCAGACCACGGCTCTATAATGTCCTCCTCCTACCACCAATCACCACCAACACCAATTCTAACACACACCCCACCATCCTCAACCACGCCCCTAACCCTCGGCCCCCTCACCATCCGCATCCTCTTCACAACCCCCCACACAACAGTAACCCACCTAACCCTACCGCCCTACACGCGAGGCTTTCCCCTCCTAGCCAACCGTCTCCATTCCGTCACATACTACATAATATCCGGCTCCCTTTCTTTCTCCTACACCCCAAACACAAATCAGACCCCAAACCTCAACCCAAATCCCTCCTCATCATCATCATCGCCACCAGCAAAAGTACCATCACAATCACCCTCTACTCCACAGCTACAACTGCAAAACTTCACCGCAGCAGAAAGCCACACAATCACCATCCCCCCCGGATGCATCCACAGTTTCGGTAACAGGGATGCGGAACCGGTACAGGTGCTCTGTATATACGCTCCTGGGAACTGGGTCGGAGCTTTAAGGGAGTTGAGCGGTAGGGCGAGGGAGGATTGGAGCGGGGTGCTGAGGGGGTGGGGGTGTGAGGTTTTTGAGAATACTCGGGGCGATGAAAGCGAGGAAGAGGAAGAAAATGATGACGAGGCGGAGGATGGAGAGTTAACGCATGTACCGGCGAGGTTGAGATGTATGGCTGGATAAGTAGGGTTTTTTCCTTCCTGCCTGCTTTCTTCTCTTTTCTTGCTTACCAGGCGAGAAACATGTGCGTTGGATGGAAATGGATGTAAAGGGGATAGGAGGTAGAGGCCAAAGAGGTGTAGTGGATGCTCTATTTTATCCTGTTCCGTTCTACTTTGTTTCCTGTGTTTCTTTGCAGCCATCTGGTATGGTTGCCTTTTGTATGCGGTTACAGTAGGTAACTGGTTCTTTGGGGTGGGGAAGGAGGGGGTATCTTTAGAATAATTATTTTATCTTGACCTAATTCTTACATTCTTCATATTCCTGCGATCATTTTTCGCCCTTCACAGAGTATTGGTTTTTCATAGCCTTTAAGTTTTAGGAGATATGTGTGATGCGAGCAGCTTGTGAGTTCTAGACGTCAGTGCTGCTGGATGTCAGTTTTGAATTTTTCGTTTCCACTTCCACTTCCACTTCCACTTTAACGCATACTAGCATTATCGTTATGCATATACCACAAGATTCCCTCGGGTTCTATCTACATCATTTCAGCACAGAGATATCTATATATCTGCCTTTCGATGCAACAAAGGAATAAACAGGCCAAGTATCGCAATGTACGTACAAACAGTGCTGCACTATAGACCAGCGAGGAGGAAAACCACCAGTTAAGTCTCACCTCGGGATCGGGTCAGATACAGCATAGCAATAATTGAAAATCAATATATACTCGTATCTCATAGCAAACGGGATAGCATACCTACTACCCAGCATAGCCCCCCCCCCGCTCCCAAAACCTATATCTATCCCCCTCCCCTTCCCACCCAGCCATAGCTGCCTGCTAATACTTATACCTCCTCCTCTCATCTACC